CTAATAAGTGAGTTCAGCAGTTGCAAGATGTAAAGTTACTATGGGAAAATCAACTGTATTTCTATATACTAGCACATAGCCATTGTGAATTAAAATTTTAAAATACCATAAAACTATAAAGAGATAAATATAAGAAAATGTGCACAAGACTAGTATGCTGAAAAATATAGACGTTGCTTAGAGAAAACTGAAATACCTAAATAAACAGAGATATCATGTTCATGGATTCAAAGATGCAATATTAAGATGTTAATTCTCTCCAAATTATCTATATACTAAACACAATCCCAGACGAGGTCTTAGCAGCTGTGGGGTTTTTTGGAGGGTTGTTTGTTTTCTTTTGAGGTAGAAAATAAGCTGATTCTAAAATTTATACAGAAAAATTCAAATAACTTAAAATATCCAAAACTATTCAAATATCAGAAAAAGAACAAAGTGGGAGGCAAAGCAAATTCAAACCACATCATACCCTTCAGAGTAGATAAAGTTAAAAATATTGGCCAAGATGTGGAGAAACTAGAATTCTCATACATTTCTTGTGAAAATGTAACTTTGTAAAACCAATTTGCCAGAAGTTTGACTTGATTAAAGTTGACCATAAGCCTTCTTTATTGCCACAGTAACACTATATTATATACTACCCCAAACTCAGTGACTTAGGACAACAGCATTAATTCTCATACTCACCAATCTTTGGGATGTCTTTTGTGTGTGTGTGTTCAGCTGTGTCCAACTCTTTGTGACCCCATGGACTGTAGTCCACAAGGCTCCTCTGTCTGTGGGATTTTCCAGGCAAGAACACTGGAGTGGGTTGCCATTTTCTCCTCCAGGGTATCTTCCCCATCAACCCAGGGATCGAACTCACATCTCCTGCATCTCCTGCACTGGAAGGCATATTCTTTACTACTGTGCCACCTGGAAAGCTTGCGCTGTCTAGTTCAGTTCAGCCACTCAGTTGTGTCCAACTCTTTGTGACCCCATGGACTGCAACACCTCCCTGTCCATCACCAACTCCCAGAGCTTGTTCAAACTCACATCATCAAGTCAGTGATGCCATCCAACCATCTCATCCTCTGTCACCCCCTTCTCCTCCTGCCTTCAATCTTTCCCAGCATCAGGGTCTTTTCTGATGAGTCAGTTCTTCACATCAGGAGTCAAAGGATTGGGGTTTCAGCTTCAGCATCAGTCTTTCCAAAGAATATTCAGGACTGATTTCCTTTAGGGTGGACTGGTTTGACTTCCTTGCAGTCCAAGGGACTCTAAAGAGTCTTCTCCAACATCACAGTTCAAAAGTATGTGGGATGTCTAAGGTTATGATAACAGAGATGGGTTTGGCCTACAGGTTGAATTCACATCTGCTCCATAAGTGCTTGTTCTGAGTGCCCAGAATGAAGGAGCAACAGCAGCAAGAGACTTCAATCTCCTCATGTGCATCAGCTACCCTCAGGAGCCAAATAAACTATGCAAGCACACTTAAGACTCCTGCATACACATGTCCTACCATCTCCCAGAATCCTTCTCACTGGCATCCATCTTGGTTGAGCAATGGGTGCGTCACCAGGAAGACCCCTGAGTCAGAATGATTGGCCTAAAACACCCGGAAACTAATCCCATCACCATAAAACTGAGACTGTGAGCCACATGATGGAGCAGTTCTCCTGGGTTCCCTGACCCTCCTGGCCTCTACCCGGGTGCCCTTTCCCAATAAAGTCTCTTGCTTAGTCAGAAAAAAAAAAAAAAAGACTCCTGCATATGTCATGTCTGCTGATATCCTATTAATCAAATGAATCCATATGACCAAGAACAATATAAATGGGTAGAAAAGTAAACCTTACTAATAGTAGAAGAGGGAAGGAATAAGTATCTGCTGAAGCAAAAATCCAAATCATCATGTCCAGCATCTCCATCATGTTATATACCCAGCATAAACGAGGCCCATGTGTACAAAGAGACATGAATAAGAAAGTTCAAGCAGTACTATTCGTAACAGCCAAGCACTGGAAACAATGAAAACGTCTATCTACATATCAAAGAAAATGTACTACATCCAGACCTACATAGATAGCAATGAAAATGAAAGAATTGTGTACACAAAAACGTTGTTTCACCATGTTACTCCAAAGAAACCAGGCACTAAACCATTCAATTTATATAAAATTCAAACTACAAGCAAAACTATAAGATAAAGTTTAGGGGTTACATATTTACACAGTGAATCTACTAAGAAAGGAAAGAAGAGATTACCATGGAAATTAAATTGCTTGTTAGGTTTGCTAGTAGGTAAGGGGAGTGGGTATTGATCCAGAGATATCACAAGAGGGAGCTCCTGGGGTTTTGACAATGTTCTATTTCTTGACCAGAGCGGTGGTTTCATGAACATTTGCTTTGTGATAAACCAGGAACTTGTACATGCTGATTTTGTGTACCTTGAAAATATCAGTTATATTTGATTGCTTCTTAAAGAGATGGGAATACCAGACCGCCTGACCTGCCTCTTGAGAAGTCTGTATGCAGGTCAGAAAGTAACAGTTAGAACCGGACATGGAACAACAGACTGGTTCCAAATAGGAAAGTGAGTATGTCAAGGCTGTATATTGTCACCCTGCTTATTTAACTTATATGCATCATGAGAAATGCTGGACTGGAGGAAACACAAGCTGGAATCAAGATTGCTGGGGGAAATATCAATAACCTCAAATATGCAGATGACACCACCCTTATGGCAGAAAGTGAGGAAGAATTAAAAAGTCTCTTGAGGAGAGTGAAAAAGTTTGCTTAAACTCAACATTCAGAAAACTAAGATCATGGCATCTGGTCCCATCACTTCACAGCAAATAGATGTGGAAACAGTGGACACAGTGACTGACTTTATTTTTCTGGGCTCCAAAATCACTGCAGATGGTGATGGCAGCCATGATTAAAAGACGCTTACTCCTTGGAAGGAAAGTTATGACCAACCTAGACAGCATATTAAAAAGCAGAGACATTACATTGCCAACAAAGGTCCATCTAGTCAAGGCTATGGTTTTTCCAGTGGTCATGTATGGATGTGAGAGTTGAACTATAAAGAAAGCTGAATGCTGAAGAATTCACGCTTTTGAACTGTGGTGTTAGAGAAGATTCTTGAGAGACCCTTAGACTGCAAGGAGATTGAACCAGTCCATCCTAAAGGAGATCAGTCCTGGGGGTTCATTGGAGGGACTGATGTTGAAGCTGAAACTCCATTACTTTGGCCACCTGATGAGAAGAGCTGACTCATTTGAAAAGACCCTGATGCTGGGAAAGATTTGAGGGCAGGAGGAGAAGGGGATGACAGAGGATGAGATGGTTGGATGGCATCACCAACTCGATGGACATGGGTTTGGGTGGAATCCAGGAGTTGGTGATGGACGGGGAGGCCTGGTGTGCTGGAGTTCATGGGGTCACAAAGTGTTGGACAGGACTGAGCGACTGAACTGAACCAAACTGACAGCCAACTTTCCTCAGTTCTTGAACATAATTTCACTTTTAGGGGTTTTGTACTTGCTTTGTCTTCTGCTTAGAAAGTTCTTCCTCCGCATCTTCCAAAAGCTGATTTGGCCTGTTTTCATTATTGAGGTTTGACCCCAAATGTCCTTTATACAGTGAAATGTTGAAGCTCTCCCTCTTCTTCCCCAGCCTCCAGGCTCCAACCCTATCCTCAGCATTTCTGGCTTGTTTTCACAGCAGTATTTGTAAATGAAATCTGTTCTTGGGATAGACGTAGTTTGTTACTGTTTGTCATTCACCTCTAGAATAAGCACCACAATGTGCAAGGTCCTTGTCTAGCTTACTCACAATTGTAATCTTAGCGCCTAATTTAGTAGCCGGGCACAGCAAACAATTTAAAAGGTGCTACTGAATAAGTGAGTCTTTCCATTCCCAACACGATGAGGTCCAATGCCTGATTCACGGTTAAGTGTGTGCAGCACTTAGTATCTCTCATTGGTAGAAGAACGCTAAAGCTGAGCGCCGAAGAATTGATGCTTTTGAACTGTGGTGCTGGAGAAGACTCTTGAGAGTCCCTTGGACTGCAAGGAGATTCAACCAGTACATCCTAAAGCAGATCAGTCCTGGGTGCTCACTGGAAGGACTGATGCTGAAGCTGAAACTCCAATACTCTGGCTACCTCATGCAAAGAGTTGACTCACTGGAAAAGACCCTGATGCTGGGAGGGATTGGGGGTAGGAGGAGAAGGGGACGACAGAAGATGAGATGGCTGGATGGCATCACCGACTCGATGGACATGTGTTTGTGTAAACTCCGGGAGTTTGTGATGGACAGGGAGGCCTGGCGTGCTGCGATTCATGGGGTCGCAGAGTTGGACACGACTGAGCTTCTGAACTGAACCTTGCATTGATTTATAAACTTTCAGAGGTGCTTTCCCTGAGAACGAGCACATAAAAGAAATATTCCATGGAGCAACGTTTCTTAAACTGCAACAAAAGTGTGATTCCGTAAACGTCAATTCAGGGTAAGACAAAACAAGCGTCGGTGCGGCAGTTGGAGCAGGAGATTAAAGGAGGTAGACTCCCAACCGTGAGGCAAAAAACATCCCACAGCGTGTGCGGGGCCATCGACACCGGGATTCCACGGTTCCCCTTGCGCGCCTTCCGCTTCCGGTGACGCGTCCTCCTCGCGAGACGCCCCGCCACGCCGCCGCACCCGCCAGAATCCGTCATCCAATCCCGGGCCGTGCTGAGGCCTCGCGCCTGCTCAGAGGAGAGAAGCGAGCGCCGCGTGGACGCCGGCTGCAGCCCGCGCCTGCGCGTCGGCTTCTCCTCAGCGATTGGCTCCTGTCACCACCACCCCCCCTCCCCCGCCCCGCCGCCGCAACAGGCCGCCACAGTTCAGTTTTCACTTTCTCTCCCCCCACAGCTCCTCTTCCTGTGGGCATGGGGTTTTACTTCCGGGTTCCAGCGTCAGTCTCTGGGAAAGTCGACATGTTCCCTCAGGAAGTGGGGCGCTTCAGGGTCCGTGCCTTATGACCCTCTGCGGGCAGGGACGACGCTTGGCTGACCAGCGCCGGGGAGCCTGCGGGCTCCGAACCTGGAACGCCGGGCCCGCGTCCCTCCCGCCGGCGCGTCGTGGCCGCTCCGCGCCGCCCGGGCGGCGCTCCTGACTGGCGCGGAGAAGCAGGACGGGCTGCGACGTGTAGGGTCCCGTGCGCCGCTGACGAGCCTTTTGTGACGCGGGCCGCGTGGAAACCGGGAGGAGGGGAGTCCCGGCCAGGGGCGGCGGACGTCTCCCCAACCCGAGGCGGCCCGAGCCCCGCTCGGTCTCAGGGTCCGACGGGATCTGTCACGCGAGGCCGGGAGGGGAGGAAAAGCGCATGGAGGCGCGGACAGCATCTCAGCATGAGGAGGAAACTGAACCCTGAGGTCAGGTCCGCCGGGGCGGCGGCGGCGCAGAGAACAGGTGAGGCCGCCCCTCGTGGACGCCCGCCCCGGGGGACGCGGCAGGTGCGGGTCCTTCGCGGCTGAGTGCCCGGCGTGACCGCTCGGATCGCGGGGGTATATGCAGTAAGAGAGCTCGCCGTTGTCGCGTTCTGTTTTGTTCTTTTGGAAAATTAAACTGCTGTCCACTTTGCATGCTTCGCGCGGCTGCTGGGTTGACACACGCCTTCTTGGCTTGTTGGCGTTCCTTGGGATGAGCGGGGCGCGGGGCGGTGGTTTCAGAGCCGCTTTTGTTGGGCTGCCTCTGCGCGGACTCCCGGCCGCCGACACTCGGGTCTCCACCTGTCTCCAGGCGCTCGGCGTCCTCCGGGTGTGTGGCGCTTCAGATTTCCTCCCGCCCCTCTGGGAGGCGGCTTTGGCGCCTCCTCGGGGTTGCCTGTCAGACGACCGCGGCATCCTCACGGACGCCGTGAGAACCCTGAGTGGAGGCGTTGATCTTCTGGCCGGGACTGACTGGGAAGCACTTTCCTCAGGAACCCTGGTAAAGTCCGCTCCTCCGCTTCCTTTCTGTGGACTCTTGGTGGCCCTGTGTGACCTCTTCTTTTTAAGGTAGACGTAAAAGAAGGAAGAGGTCTTTCTTCAGGGAGGCTCCTTTAGCTGAAAACTGAAGTATCGCGTCACCATAGGTTGGTCCATCCAACCCAGCAGTTTGAAGGTGGCACCAAGCAGTATTTGTGGGGGACGTGGCATGCCGTGCCAAGTCACTTCAGTCGTGTCCGACTCTTTGCGACCCCGTGGACTGTAGCCCGCCAGGCTCCCCTGCCCATGGGATTTTCCAGGCAAGAATCCTGGGCTGGATTGTGGGGAAGATCCTTCGAAAAGCCTTGTTTCACTTAATCACCACTTGCCTATTTGAAATCTAAAAACCTAAACGCACCTCTCTTACCCTTTATTGTTCCTCAAGGGAGAACGGTTAAGGTTTTTCAGAATATATTCTAGACTTAAGGGTTGCTCTAGCATATGGTGTTAGTTGCAGTAACGTTGGTGATCCATGGGCCAGTGGTGTTCCCCTTCAGAAGCTTTAGAAAGGGATAGGGGTGTAGATATGATATTTAATATTATGGGCTCTGAGATTGGTAGTAAGCCTACTCAGGAGGTTTATAACAAAGCTGCTATTCCTTAACAGTATAAGAATACTTTTTTGTTGAAAAAGATGCTTTCTATAATAGAACCAGATAGCTCTATAAATATGTTCTGTACATCAGTAAATAATTAACCCAGTTTGGAGAAATTTGTGTTTGTTCCCAACTGTTTTGAGGAAGATAAAGAGCAGTATTTGAAATTTTGTGTTTTAAAAAGAGCTATATCAGGGGCATCTCTTGTAACCCAGACATAGTTGCTTAAACGATTTAAAATCTACAAAGTGTCGCTTGCCTGAGACGTAGTGTTTGTTAAATAAATGCAATGTGGTATATCTATTTAGTATCATTCAATAGATATGGTATCTATTTATCCAATAAGTCTTTCATTCCTCTATTGATGCACATTTATTTTCAAGTTTTCCCTATAACTTAAATGCTGCAGTTATAAGCGCTGCTTCATCTGCTCATCAAAGTATTTTTATGAATCATAGAATTGATTCCTTCTGAGGATGATATATAATAATGCTATTAAATTACCCTCAGATGATTGTACCCTTTTATATTCACTCTCTCAAAAGGTGTGTTTTATCTCCCCACTAGCCAGATGGTAATATTTTACTAACTTTCTAACATTTGAAAATAACATCTCATTTAAGTGTTTATCTTTCTTGGGTAATAAGAATATTAAACATTTTTGGGTAACAAACGTATCCTTTGCTGCTTTTAAGTTCTGAGTTTCTTATTTGACCCATTTATCTGTTACTGCAGTGTTTTAATTACTGTGGCTTTAAGATATATTTTGGTACTTCCTTTTGAAGAAAAGCTTTGGGCTCTTCTTTTGCATTTTTCTTCCAGATGAAATTTAGAACCATCTTTTCAAGTTCTATAGAAAATCTGGTTGCGATATTGTTTGTGATTGCATTGAATTTGTAGATTAATTTGAGAAGAGACATTCTTTTGAGTTTTTCCTTCTAGGATAATAGGTATGTCTCCTCATTTCTTATATTAAATTTTTTGTAATGAAATATGCCATTTATATGTACTGTTAAAAAGAAAAGTGTATCTGTATACTCTGCTTGATAGAACATTACAAGTACTGGGAAGCTTTTGATGTGTGCCTTTCCCCAGAAACAAAGGGTTCTCTGCCCCCATCACCATGGTCATCCTGAATGGTGTTAATTATTCCTTTGCTTTTCTTTACAGTTTTAGCAACTGTGTATGTATCTTTTCCCAACATATTGTTTACTTTCACTTGTTTTTGAACTTTAAGTAGAATCATATTGCATATTCTGTGAATTACTTTTGTTAAGCATTGTTTCTGAGATTCATCCCTGTTGAAGTGTATACCTGTAGTTCAGTTCAGAAACTTTAGGACCCCTTTACAAGTACTGAAAGTATTGAAGACCTCAAAGATCTTTTGCTTATGTGGATTAAATCATATTAGATATTGAAACTAACCAATTTTAAATATAGATATTGGTACATTTGCTTATGCCAATAAGCATATGGTATATTGATAGCTCTAAAAAATAGTAATAATAATAGTAAATCTTAGACAACATTTTTAATGAAAAATAATTTTTCCAAAATAAGTTAGTGGCAAGAATGGCATTGTTTTACAGTTTTCCCAAATATCTTTCATGACCAGAATCTCATGTTTGCTTCTACATTCAATCTATTGCAATATATTGTTTTGGTTGAAGTAGATGCAGAAAATCTGGCCTCACCGAACTATATATTTAAAAGAAGGAGGAGTATGTTGATAATCTTTTAAATAGTTATATTATTCTTTCAGTTCAGCTCAGTTCAGTCGCTCAGTCGTGTCCGACTCTGTGACCCCATGAAGTGCAGCATGCCAGGCCTCCCTGTCCATCACCAACTCCTGGAGTTTACCCAGACTCACGTCCATTGAGTCAGTGATGCCATCCAACCATCTCATACTATTCTTTAATACTCATCAAATCCTAACAGTTTCTGAAAGGTTAGCCACAGTGTAGAATTTGAAATCAAATAACTTCTCAAACTCTGACATTAAAACCTGTTAGTCTAGCTTGCATTTTAAAGAGATGTTTTACCCATGCATTGGTCGTGTGAAAGATATTAATTCACTGAATTATGTAGATTTCCCAAATGATGACACATTTCAATATAGAATATCCAAAAAATCACCTACATTATCATCACCACTTTGGGAACCACTCCTGTGATTCATTCACTTTTGTTGAAGTATAATATTTTTTATGAACATACTGGTTAGTTCCACCACTGGGCTACAATAATTAGTGGTGCTATAAACATTCTTGGTCATTTTTTCAAGTGCATATATACAGTAGTGTCATTTAGGCATACTAGTAGTGGAACTGCTAGATCCGTTGGGAGGATATGTGCAAGTTCAATTTCATTAGATAGTATCTGACTTTTCCCAAATGATGACTCTGATTTATACTCCACCGATCGTTGAATGAAACCTCCCTTTGTTCTCCAGGCTCTCTACATCTGGCATTGTCCAACATTTTAAAATTTTGCTGGTCTGGTGGAAGGGAAATGATTTATTACTATAGTTTTAAACTGCATTTCTCTGATTACTTCTGACATTGCATATATCTGTTCCCAATTCCCCGCCTCCCTCTCTGTTAATTCATCTTGCCTGTAGTTTTTCAGTTACATTTGCCTTTTCTGGAATCCTTTTATGGCTTTGTGATTATCTCTATCATATATTTTTTGCTTATTTTCCATTTTCATTTATTAAACTATTTTGAGGTAACTGTAGATTTGTAAACACGTGTATTTCAGACATGTTTCTTTTAAAGAGCATATGTTGAAATTTTAATGCAATTTTAAAACATTTTTAGCTGGGATACACAGTCTATATTTGCTTAGTTGCCCTTTGTGCTAGTTGTCCTGACTATTTTATATTTCTTTTTTCTCTGTTTTTGTTATTTTAAAAAATAATTATTTAATATCTTTTACCACTTCATTTTTCTGAAATACTAATTTGGAAATTTTATACTTTTTTATTGTTATCCTAGAAATATCATGCATCCTTGACTTTTCAAAATCTAAAAGTAACCAATATCTTTACCTTCCTCTTAGAAAATAAAAAAATCTTAGAAGTTTAACTTAATTCACCCCTCATGACTTACATTTTTTATCATGTATTTTAATTTTTAAAAAAATATTACCAGGGACTTCCCTGGAAGTCCATTGGTTAAGACTTCATGCTCCCAATGTAGGATGCATGGGGTTCAATCCCTGCTTAGGGAACTAAGATCCCATATGTCATGCAGTATAGCCAAAAAATAAATAAATAAATAAATATTCTTACCAGAATAGGGAGAGGACCCATTTAGAATTATTGTCGTGTTTTGCAGGCAGTGTATTTTTGCTGCTTTCTCTGTTATTCATTGATTATTTTATCTTTTAGACCACCCATCTAGGGCCTTTTCCTTCTGCTTAAAGTATATGCTTTAGAATAACTTACTGAAAGTCTGTTGATGACAAACTTTCTCAGTTTGTGTTCACCTGAAAATACCTTTGTTTTACCATCACTCAAGATGTCTTTGCTGAATATAGCAGTTTAGGTTGGCAGTTGTTTTCTTTTAGCACTTTAAAGATCTCATTTCTCTGTCTTTTGGTTTCATTTTTGCTATTGAAAAGTCTGCTGTCAGTCTTTTAGTTGCTTTTCTCGGACTGCTTTGACATTTTTCTCTTTGTTTTTTGGCTTTCTGCCCTTTCACTGTATTTTTATCTTGTTTGGACTTATTTGCCTTTCTTAAGTCTGTATTGGAAGTGTTTTGAAATATGTTTATTGGCTGTTTATAATTCCTAGACTATGGGTTTCCATTTTTATAGTCTATTGATACATTTATCTACTGTATAAATAAATGTTTTATAACTTTCATAGTAAATATTTCCTCCTGGCCTTTTACTTCTTTTTTCCTTTGTTTTCCACAGTTTCCCCAACAGACTGCATTGCCAAACTCGTGGATTTTTGTTAATCTGAATAGTGAAAAGTGAACTTGACAATAAAACTCGGAAACTGGTCTTTGGAGAGGAGTAGGACTGCAACTACTCTTTCCATTTTTTCATCATAATTGGTTTATTCCGATGTTTCTTCCATTTAGACCAATGTTAGTAAATTATATTTTCATGATTTTCAAATTTAGTGATGTAAATAGCATGTGATAATTTATAATTTTAGACATTTCCCCTATGTTTGTGGTTAGCCTCCTTTTGTTGATATTTTTTTTTCTTTTTATTGATTATATTTGCTAAAGGTTGTCTATTCCAAAAGAATCAGCTTTTGGGTTTTAT